CCAAGTACACTACCTCAGACAGTGCCCACTGTACCCACTGGGTAGTCATGGGGGACCTAAACTACCCAGACATCTGCTGGGAGACGCAGACGGCAAAGTCCCACCGTTCACGCAGGTTTCTAACCTGTGTCCAGGACCTCCACCTGACACAGGAGGTACACGGTCCCACTAGGGGGAATGCCTTACTGGATCTGGTATTGGCAACGGGGGATGACATGGTAGGGGACCTACAGATCGGTGGTCACCTGGGGGACAGTGATCACCTAATAATAGAATTCACCATAAGACGTCGAGTGGGTAAGGTAACTAGTAAGGTGAAAGTGCTAGACTTTAGGAAAGCTGATTTCAGTGCACCTGGCCCAAGCACCACGAGCGCTCGTAAAGCCATGCCAAGGGCCCAGCAATAACCCCTGCTAGCTCCCTCAACACCCTGGGGTGGAGAGCATCTGGACCTGCTGACTTGAACACGTCCAGCCCCTCCAGTAGCTCTCTAACCCGGTCCTCCTCAACCTTAGGTCTCTGCCCAAGAAAGCCAAAGTGAAGAATTTGTTAAAGGTGTCCGCCATCTGGGGTCATTTGACCCCAGCATCCTCTCCTGACCATGGCAGGGGGTCGGACTTGATGATCTGCTCAGGTCCCTTCCCACCCGACCTACTATGAAACTATTTAAAAGCTGTCAATCTAAAACCTGGGATAGTCAAGCCTGGTCTTCAGTTTGCCTGTAGAAATCATGTAATTAAAGCCATTCGTTCTCATTTTTGCTTCCATTTGTAGCAGGCTGACCTTTCAGAGCTTGGGTTGAACCCCAGGCTTGAGAGCCTGCTGCTTTGATCGGTGGAAGCCATCCACCAATCAGGAGGCAGCAAGAGGAGTTCCGCCGGGGCTAGAAGAGCAGAGGAGAGCTGCTCAGCCGGGCGAAGCCGTACCCAGAAGCGCCCAGAAGACTTCCATCCGCGGGGAACAGCACACAGCTCCAGTAGCTAGGTTCTTGGTGTGCAGCACGGCACATGGACTCCAGACCCTGGGAGCCGCGTGATGTGACTCAGGTCTGCAACCTCTGGCATGCGGCCAGAGACACGGTGCACAGGCCGGTGCACGGACTAGGACCTTGGGAGCGCTTGGGCGGCTCGGGTGCTCAACCCCTGGAACAAGGCTGGGAGCTCGGTGCAGGAGGCGCTGCACGGAGGATGAGAGACCCTGGGAGCTGCTTGAGGTGGCTCCGGTCTACAGCTGCTGACAAGGGGCAGCAGCTCAGTGCAGACGACACAGCCCAGAGGGTGCAGGAACAGAGCGAGCCCTGGTGCTGCACACGGCTGTCCAGGCCTCCGACCCCCAGCACAAAATGAAGCGTCCGCTACACGCAGCGGTGCCTGTGGCCCTAAGCCAGGACGGCGGCAGCACAGTCAGGCGGCAGGAAAACCCGGCGGGGACAGAGCCTGACCTGGACAACAAGAGGCAACCCTCCGGGACTGCGGAGTAATAGGAAGTTACCCTGGAGAGAGGGTCCCCACAGGGGAGGGCCCCCACCCACCAAACTGGTGTGGTATGCGTGTGTATATATATATATATTATAGGGTTTATTGTTTGGTAAACGTGTAAACTTGTACATATATATATAACCTATGCCCTTACCCCTTTAATGGTTTTGTTGTGATAATAAATCTGTACATAGTTAAGTAATTGATTGACTGGACCCGACTCTATAGGGGACGGAGGTGGCCGCTGGGCTGTTGTGTCCCTCCGCAGTGCACTGCCCTGCCAATAATTCCCTCAATTGGAGAGGGAAGTACAAACCGTGTACACTCAGGCTACATATTTAAAAAATACCATTTTAAAACCATCCCAAACCTTAATTCAAGTGTAACTGATGCAAAAAGATGCATTTATGGTAAAAACACAATGTAAAAATGGGACAATAAGTTATAAGGACTCTTAGATCATCACAAAATCTGTGTGCACTTCATACCATCGCTGCGGTCAGGCCCCTGGCAGGGGGCAGCTGGAGGGGAGACATCCAAGGAAGCAAGCAGGGCTCATCAATTATAACACTGGCCTGGCTGGAAAGAGATGCCCTGCGGCATCGTCACACCAGCCAGTGCCCTCCCCTCCCACCCGGATGGCGCCCCGGTCACCACTGCGTAGCAGCAGCTGCACCGCGAGGCAAGATGTCCAGAAACGTCTCCGAGGTGGCAGCCTTCACGCCTGCGCGGCTGGGAGCAGGGACGATGTTCCCGGCAAGAGCAGCGTGTGGTGTCAGCTCCGCTGCTCCTCGGGGGTTTCCTTTTTCCACGTAGGAGCAGCAACATCAATCCTCCTCAGTGAAGGGTACATCCCTGGTGAGCAAGATATCAGGGATGGGAGGAAAGAATTATGGAGGGGTGAGTGTTGGGGGGAAAGGGGGAGAAGACCCCCAGCACCCCCCAGGGAAACACCAACCTGTGACACCCCTGCCCCACCCCTGCTTAAACCCAGGGGAATCCAGTTCAGCCCAGGGCCACCCTGGACTCAGCTCTGCCCACCCCCACCAGGCTGGACTGGGCTGGAGGGGAATAGTTCCTCCTAGCCCCCACATCAGCCCTGGATGCCCCCCCAGTCCAACAGGCCAAGACCAGCCCTAGGGGCCCCCAGCAAGGCAGCCTCGCAGCGCTGATGCTGGGGTCTGGCTGCTGCCGCCCCGGGGGCACGTGGACCGGAGAATCCCCTGTCCCCCCAGGTCCAGGCACAGCGGTGATGAGTCCTCCCTGCTCCCCCGCCCCAAGGCCTGGGCATGGCCTCATCCCAAGGGCTTCGCCCGGCACTTACTGCGCCAGTGAACACCTGCGCCCGCTCCGGCAATGACCAGCACGATGACACCGATCACGGTGCCCACAATCAGCATCGGGTTGGGCTCTGGAAGAGGGAAAGGGCCTGTGAGCGAGGGGAACCCCCAGACCTGCCCCCAGCGCTGCACGGGCCCGGTGCCCCCTCTTCATCCGTGCCCCCTGCATCCTCTGACCCCCCAATTCCTTCCCCACGTAGCCCAGGGTCAGTCATCCCCC